AGATTATACAAACTTTCTCCACCTTTGTATTCGTATGTTAATTACATTTGGGGGGGAGGTTAATGGTGGGGTGATGAGTGGAGTGGTGGTTCCTTATTATTAAACACTATTATACTTAACAATATTATAAATCTTTGGCTAATAATAGGGACGGAAAGATAAATACTGATAGGCAAATGAATTTTTTATTATTATTTCATTTTCGGGGAGGTTTATGGGGGGTGGGTGCAAGACGAGTGCTGTTTTTGGTGATTATTAACTTATTTTACAGTATTAGACCACAATAATAAGAAAATTGTGTAGAAAAACACGATTATTGTTGGTTTGAAGATCAAACAACTGTTCATCACGGGTTGTTATTCTCATTCAACTCGCGATTAAATAATAAATATTCACAGTACTAACTTCCAGTTTTCACAGTTTGCTAGGAAAGGGATTGAGCTGCATGATAAAAAAAAATAACCGTCTAGCTTAAAAAACAAAAAGGTTATGGTTGTTTGATCTTCGAAAAACTTTAAATACGTTTCAAATTACGTACGTATTTTCTAGTACCAAAGCGTTTCCGTCCCATACGACAGCGTGGCGTGGGCTGGGCCGCCTTGTGGTGTACAGCCTCCACACCGTAGCCTGCTCAGTTGGTGTTTGGCCGTCGTTGGTGTTAGTGATTGCGCTGTGTACTGACAAAATTTTTGTTTCTAATTCCCTTTAAAATGACTGGCAAGCATAGAAGTGAGAGTTCTGGTGGTGCTCAGAAGAAAAAGAGACAGTCAATTACTTTTGAGATGAAAATGAAAATAATAATGCAATATGAAAATGGAAAAACGGTGGCAACCATTTCACTCGACCTTGGCTTCTCTCACTCGACGATATCAACAATTTTGAAGGACAAGGCAGAGGCATTTGCTACTATTAATAAAGGGACGCAAATGTTTAAAGAAATGGATCAAAATATTGAGTGTTTTGCAAAAGTTGACAGACTGATCCAAGATGCACTTGCTTGCTACAGGGAGATTTACAATGAAAAGAAATGGCAAACTGTGCAGTCTAAATTGGACATATATTTTAAGAAGTCCCCCACTGCTGTCTCCTCATGCCCCACCAGTGCTGCCTCTTCACTCCCTAAAGATGATCAAATACCTTCAACAAGCAAATATGTTAGCCTGTCTGAAGAAGCTAAATTGATGACCCACCCAGCCCTGTCTCCTCTGCTTCATCCAATTAATGTACTGTAGTCTCCATGTTTAATTCAAAAAAATATTGAGGCCCCGTGTGCATTCAGCTGACTACATTAAAGGTAAGTGCACAGTAACACTTTATTCGTTTTTCATTTTTGGTTACTCTTACTGTACCGTATTTCATTTTAGATTTTCTATGTATTGTTTTCGCATTTTCGACTTGCGACCAATTCGACTTACGACCTGGTCGTCGGTCCCTAACCCTGTCGTAAGTCGAAGACTGACTGTATACAGTGTATGAGAAACTTAAATCACAAATACTACTGTCCTTTGTATGTGGAAGTTTGGAGCTTGATGAAGTGTACTGAACAGTAGAATGAAATCTGGTTACTGAAGCATAAGGAGTTCATCAGGATCACTGTTGGAAGAGGGTGATGCAGTGGTGTTTGGTGGAGCGGCGGGTGGTGGAGCGGAGGTAGCAGCTAACCGAGTAGGTGAGGGAAGCGAATCAGCTGGGCGAGCGGCTGGTTCTTTCTTGAAAAACATTGTGATTGGTAGTTGTTTCCTCTTGGCTTTGACATCTCTAAATGTTTCACTCCACTAGCATCACTAGCACTGACACTGGGCAGTCTTTTAGGGGACATTTGACACAAACACTAAAGTTTTCAGTATAACACAAGAGATGCTGGGTCTCAGGCAATGGTTGAGCACAAACATAGGAAGAGGAATGAGAGGAGGCACTGCATTCACGTAGGGGTGACTCGTTGCGCTGTGGGCAGGCTCGTAAGCTAGCCACCATCTGCTTACCCGCAAATAATCAAAATCATGAATCGCAAATTCGCGAATAGCAAGGGTTTACTGTACTGTACAGTGTTGTGGTTTATTTTGTATTTATTACATTTTTATTCTTTTTGGCTGCCCTGTTTACATCTTTTAACTAACTATTGTCTGTTCACTTGAAGCTTGCAATGAGCCCTGGGGTCAGTTTGTAGCAAGGCAGCTGATTGGTTGGTGAACAGACACTCAAAGAATCACTATAGTTCTTCAGTATTTAATCTTTTGTATTTATATTATGATGTTTTAAGGGACTGTATCCATTCTATGTTGGTATCTGATAATTTCCTCACTCAGGAAGCAAAAATTAGTACAGGCATACCCCGATAACCTACGTATATAGTGACCTGGAAAAGTCATTGGTTAATGAATCAACGGTTACCAAAGCTTTTAATCCCATAAGAAAATAACAAATTCAGGGGGTTAAGGACCAGCCATCCTCCATAAACTTCCATTTACCCTTGATACATCTTTGTCGTGCACACTGTCAAGCAACAAAATAAAGCACACATGTAAAGCAAGCATAATAAGCCTTAAATAAGCAGTGTTGAGGATGGTAGAGATGGTCTAGGGTGGCAAGTTCAAGTCTCTATCAATCTTTGTTGGTCCATCACCACTCCTATTACACGTTATTATGCCATATCACATCACATCTAGCTTCCCCTAAGAGGGGCAGCACAGAAGGAACTATCACTTGGGTGTTTAGGCATGATTGCATAACACACGAAGTTGAAAATAATGAAAAACCCTAAGTCTGAGACACAGGGTAAGTGTAAACAAGTGCAAAGTGGTGGGAATTAGTCAGAGGCAGAACCGTAGACAGAGGGAGTTAGAATTCGGCCAACTGGGCACCATGTTGTTACTCTTGTTACTCAGCGGGTGGAAGTTTTCTTGGGCTTATTAAATTTTTATTTTTATTTTTTATTATTATTATTATTATTATTATTTTACGGGAATTAGCCCACCCGGGTACAGGTCAAACGACCCACAACGGGGCCTGGGGGGTGAAAAAAAAGAACAGAAAGAAATTGAAAATAGAGAAGAAAAAGGTTATACAGTACTGTGTTAAGCTACACCACGAAGATGCCGGAAAACCAGCTTTTTAAAATGAGACAGATTGTATAAGTATGGAAACACAGAAGAAGGCAGAGCATTCCACAGTTTGGCTGTCTGAGGAAAGAAGGAGGTACTATAATGGGTTATTCTTGTGTGACCGACATCCACAGAGAAACGGTGGGCACCGCGGGCTAGACGTGTGTTACGAGCCCACTGCCTTGCCGGCGGTACACAGGATGCCAAATCCACCGAACATTGCCCATGAAAGTACCTGTAAAAGAGAGATAGTGAAGCAACATTGCGGCGAAGAGAAAGGGAAGAGAGATTGTCGACTGAAGGAGGAGAGTTAATAAAACGAAATGCCTTTGATTCCACCCTATCTAACAGTTGGACAGAAGAAGAGCCACCCCAGATATGAGAGCAGTACTCCAAGTTAAGACGAGTGAATCCCTTATGTACTTGGAACAACTGCTCAGGAGTGAAGTAGCTATGGCATCTGTATAGCATTCCCAACTTTCGGGAGGCAGCTTTAGCTATATTAAGGATGTGTGACAATTTTACTGAATAAACATTTATCATCATCATCATCGTCCTCAACAGTACGAGTGCAAACTTCTTCATCAGCTGAGTAACAACGTGGTGCCCGAATGTCATCGAGTTGAGCAAACTCTATCCGGCTCGTGTGGCAAGAATTCGCACTATGCCACTGCCTGCCAAATTCAAAACGGCTCTGCCACTCCTCTTTCGATCGTTGGACCTCCAGGGTATCAATGAAACTTGCGGACTACTGTATTTCCCTTATATGCAGTGTTGTATGTTGACGACGTCAATGGACGGCGGCAACTTTTTGTTAACGCTGACGCTATCAATTTTTTGGGCAGGTGACGCTACAGGTGACGCAATCAACTTTTCACCCAAGCGGAGTATCAAGTGTCAAGCGTCAATTTGTTCGTCAACTTCTAAAATTTTCAATTTTTCCAAGTTCGATTTTCAATAATCTTGTTATAAAGACGACCGGGAAAAATTTTGTCGCGCCCGCACACCTGTGCAGCTTTCTACAGATTTGAATTTTCAAATCAGGAAAAAGGCCACCAACCAGCTGTCCAGGTTGGTGGAGAAGTCGGTGCACGAGACTGAGAGCAACAGCCGCAGTGAGGGAGAAGACAAAGACCATGACGTGGAGGACGAATTGTTCCAGGCCCTGTACGAGACCTCCCCCCTCCCCCGCAGGAATAAAAAAGACAGTGACCTTCTCAAGCGTTTCCTGGGGGAGAAACCTTCAAAAAAACTTTCGACAAGGACACCTTCCCCAACAAGGCCATGAGGGAGTTGTTCATCAAATACAACACCCACATCCCCTCTAGTGCTGCCATGGAGTGCATGCTCTCCATGGGCAAGGACGTCTTGAGGCCCAAGCGCAGCAGAATGAGCGACAAACATTTTGAGATGCTAGTATTCTTGAGGGGAACAAATGAATAATTAAAATGATATAATATAAATCATATTAGCTGATTAAAAATGAATGAATATTATTTTTATTTTGCATATGTTACTCCTATACACAGGAGAATGCACGTTTCTGGGCTGCATTTGTACGTCACTGAAAAATCGTTGATGCTAGGTGTTGACGCTGATGCTAACGGCTTCGATTTATGAAATCGTTTACACCGACGCTGACGGCATCAAATTTCTCGGCCATTTACGCTGAATCTGGCGGCGCCACTTTTTTTCGTTGATGCGTACAACACTGCCTATATGTAATCGGCGGTGTTCGGGGTATACCTTTATGTGGAATGCTCAGGTAACATAAATATCTTAAAGAGAACAAGAAGAATAGTAAAAAATTTCAGCGATATCCTCTACCATGCTAATACTAAAAGTACTTTTATTTCCAATGTAATTTTTTAATCATTAACATTAAAGTACATTCCCCAGGTGTGGAAACCCTCACTAAGACCTGCGTTACATGATCCAGCAGAATACAAGCAGGTGTGGATGTGACATATCCAGCATCACCTTTACAGTAGTCAGGAAGGTAGACAAGGGAGAGAGCTGAGGACCCAACACAGAAACCCAACTTAACACCAGGTGAGGACTTTATCTGTTGCTTCTGTGATGTGCCCGAAAGAATGTATTGTACTGTACCTTTGTAAATATACTGTATACTGTATCTGAATACTGTACAGGTAATTCAAATTTTGCTTACATTATTATATCTGGAATGTTCAGTAGAAGAGAAGAACACTGTATACAGTAAAAGTCCAAAAATCCGGATGCCAGAAATCCGGACCACCCGAGAATCCGGACTTTTCGAAAACTAATTTTTTTGTTTTGTTTTAGCGGGCTTTTGTGTGTATGTGCGCATGCGTGAGCGCCACAGCTGCACAGCGACAACAAGCGACCACGTGGTCGTCACTTTCAAACGAACAATCAAAACTGTGACAACATACCGTATATACTCGTTTATAGGTCGACCCTAATTTTTTGACCAAGAAATCGTTAATTTATGATATTCCTCGTTTATAGTTTGACCCACGTTTTTGAGGGTAATGGAACAACAAAACCTTCAGTAAAAACGCTCTACGTCCTATAAACTGAAACACGAGTGCCGAAGGCAAATTGTTTACCATTTATTATTACGACACTTTACACTGAAACGCGGGTAGTTTCAACAAAAATATTGTATATTTCCATTCAAGTATTTATTCAAGTCAATTAGGAGGTTATATTATTGTAATACAACAGTTTTTTAACTAAACCATTCGAAAAGCGATTACGGTAACATCTTTTGAACGAAAGAAAGCGAAAGTCATTGTTTTTGTCACGATTTTATCCCACTTTCCACTGTAATACGTATGTAATTTCAGCAAAAATATTACATTTCCGTGAATGTATTATATCAAGCAAGTATGAATAGAATATCATTGTAATATAACAGAATTTTAACCGAAAACTATTAAAAAAACGAGTAACATCTCAAGAACATCGGAAGCTTAGGTAATGTCTTTTGTTTTCATCATTTATTTTATCCTATTTTACATTGAAATACATCACATTTCAGCAAAACTACTATTTATATCTGAGAATATATTCATTCAGGCGCAGTTTAGGTAAAATATGCGTGTGATGTAATAGTTTTTTTAACTAAAAACGATTCGAAAAACACGTACCCTCTAGCCCTGTTCAAGGTGAGGACTGGGAGAAGCTGTTTGGTGCTGCAGATGATGACAAGGAAAATGATTTTGATGGATTTTAATGAAAATATTCAGAAATATGGTATCGTAGTATTTATTCAAGTCACTTAGGATAGAATATTATTGTAATACAACAGTTTTTTAACTGAAAATCATTCGAAAAGCGATTACGGTAACATCTTTTGAACGAAAGAAAGCGAAAGTCATTGTTTTCGTCACAATTTTATCCCACTTTCCACTGTAACACGTACGTCATTTCAGCAAAAATATTACATTTCCGTGAATGCATAATATCAAGCACAGTATGAATAGAATACCATTGTAATATAACAATATTTTGAGTCCTACTCTTTCCATTTACAGAGTACTGTACAAGCCCATAATAATGGCTCCTAAAGTAGATAAACTTCGTTGTGTGAAGAGAAAGACGAACACGTTGAAATTGAGTGACACACTTGAAATAATTAAGGAACTAGAATATGGTGTGAGCAATACTGTTCTAATGGAAACATACGACATTGGAAAGTCTACAATTTATGATATAAAAAAGGCAAAGAATAAAATTCTAGAATTCACAGCTTTTTCATTAAAACTGCTCGTTTTGATAAATGAAGCATGCTATATTTGCTAATGAATAAACTATCAAAATGTACCTGTTCATCTCTTCTTTATTCCTCCTTAAATTTGAATTTTAAAAGTACTGCCTGAGAATCCGGAAAATCCGAAAATCCGGACCGACCCAATCCCCAAGCAGTCCGGATTTTTGGACTTCTACTGTAATATGGGAGTACAGTTTTTTACAGAATTTATCATCACAGTAGCTATGTAGTGTAGTAGGCCTCCTGGCTGTAAGGAAAGAGCTGTGATGTACAGTCCTGGCCAAAAGTCTTGTGCGTTTTGGCAAACTCAGTTATGTGGCAACGTCGGAGGAGTGCGCACGAACACACATGACGTATGCCAGAAACCCTGATGATGTAACAATCCATTATGTGGCATCTATGTGCATATCTTCTATGAACTATACACTTTACCAGTGGTCAATGGTAAAATGGTAGAGTGTATTTTATATTGTATTACTCTTAATATAAAATTATCAGTGATATTGGCCACTGTCAGTCAGTAGCTAGAACACAATGCCTCGATCACTCATGTCTACCACACCATACTTTCGAGTTTTAATATAATTCTTGTATCAATGTAAAACAACCGTGCTGCCATGCATAAAGAAAAGACACGAAATGTTTCTGTGAACTCTTACCGTTTCATATCATATTACATGTCTTAGGAGAAATAAATTACTTGTATGTTACAAACACACAATAAAAAAGAAATGAACACACATTGTGTCTGCTAGACACTTGAATTATGGGAATAATCCATTTTAGAGCATGTGTATGTGCTCCTGCACTTTAAAATGCACCACTTATTGGTGATAATACTTCTCTTATGTGAGTGCTGGGAGGACAGATATTATATAAAACACTATATTCATAGTAGAGAGGTTCATAATGGAGGCCAGTCTCATTTGCACATGATAGTTTATTGTAATATGGAAATGACCATTCTTGGGACAATTAATATCATTCACCACAATCTTTAACTTACCCGAGGTTATGACGTGGTCATTCCACCAACTATAACCATGGGAGACCAACACCATGATATCTCCTAGAGAGGGCAATTCGTCGGCATGCGTAATGCCGGGTTAAGTACAGTATCAGCGAGATTGCAAAGCTGATGGGAATCTCGAGATCGACATGGTGGAGTTGGTTACAGCGATTTGAAGAGTATGGTAATTTAACAGATCTTCCCAAACTGACCAGATCAGCAGACGAAGCGAGGTTTGTGGCAGACATTCGCGACCTTCCTTTCACCAGTGCAGTGGCCACGATGGAGTGGCTGCACTTGGAGATCTCGGCTAGAACAGTTAGGCGACGACTCCGTGGAATTGGGATCCACCACAGGGTCTCTGCTGTCAAGGAAAGACTAAAAGAACAACACCAGGTTGGGAGAGACTACTGACCTGGACTTCTGGGCAACCATGGCCGTCTTAACTGCTGGAGACCTGATAACACCCGTTCCAACTGGCAGCATGTTTATCAAGAAGCCAGGAGCGGCCATGTGACCAAAACATTTGGGGCTGGTTCAGCCTCAACAGTGTGGTTGAGTTGGCAGAGATAATATGTTTTTCCTTCTGTTTGTGTTGTAAATATATAGAATTTTTCTTAGAGGTACTGTAACATGTTTTCTTCCTTTTATATCGCCAAATATTTAATACTCAATTCAACTTAGAAGTGACAAAATATAGTTTATTCAAACCAATTTAACCAATTGAAATGTAGAGCACACTCCCCTAAAAAGTACAGGGAGTCCCCTGGTTATGAATGGGTTCCTCCTGAGGATGTTCGTAAGTCGGATTTGTACGTAAGTCGGAACACGTGCCATTTACATGCAGTACTTGCAGAAGAATGTTTAAAATCCCACTATATCATAGCCTAAGTCCTTATATGCATCTAAAATCACGTAATGTAAGAGAAAAGAAGAAATAGAATGACAAAATACATGAAGTGAAAGTAAAAAATAAGTCATCAGGTAAATAATATACTGTATAGTCTGCATTTACACGGTCAATTGAACCCGTAGAGGCCCGCGTAAAACGAGAAACGCGTAAATGAAATAACAGAACATATGGGATTAATTGAAATAGAGACTGGGCCAAACTCCACTTTTTCCGACACAATACGTACCTTGTAGTAAAAATAACATCTTAATTTTATGATGGTATGCACACACAATTAATAATTAAGAGAAATATCAATAATATTAGGTTTTTTAACACTTACGTTAGTAGAAAAGCTGGGTCGGCACACGTGGATGGCGGCTGGTTCCGAGGCAGAGGGCAGATTAGTTGCCCTCCGGTGAATCACTTTCACTTTCACTACTCGCACAGGTTTGCAGGGCCTCCCAGACAAACCTCTCAAAGTCCATATCCTCACTGTCAATATCACTATCACTGACTTGGGCTGGCTGTGGTTGTGGTGGGTTGCGGGCGAGGAAGTCCTCAATACTACTTTGATGACTAGCATTGATGTTGTCGAGATAGATCTGGATATACGGCTCCATAACTTTCGTCAGATGGTTATTAGACACTTCATACTGATGCTTGTCTGGGTTGTTGTCAAGGATGAGCTTAAGTTTCACCCCCAACTCGATGATTTCCTTCACATTATTATGGCTTGGTCCAGGTAATTCAATGTTTTTCTCTGGTGGTGGGGGTCCCGCGGAAGCCATTGTGAGTTGAGGGGAATAGCTAGGTCAGCGACTTCTACCCTCTGATGGCAAGGCACATCATGTTACATTAGACCAATCACAGCTAGCGGCGGAGGGAATGCGTGGGTGGTAAGGATGTGTGGCCCAATTACAGTCCGATACGTCATATGACGTCAGCGATAACCTAGGAGCGGCCTGATGCACACCACTCACCGCGCCGCTTCCCGCGTATGGTCAAGAATGGACCACGTGGGTAAAAAATGGCGCGGCGGTCTGGACCTCTCCAGCCTCTCGCCGCGTAAATGACCAAATTTACCGTGTAATTAAAGCATTTTCTTTCTGGCGAGGCAACGCGTAAACAAAAACCGCGTAAATGCAGACTATACTGTACTGCAAATTTTAAGTTTAACCCCGTTCATATTAGCGGGCGTTCGTTAGTCGGACGTTCGTAAGTCGGGAACCTCCTGTAATGCTTAAGCTCTGCATGCGCACGTGTGTGTGTGTGTGTGTGTGTGTGTAATAATAATCGGTTTATTAATAGAGTTGCAGCCGGTAGTTGAAAATATACAGACTTACATTTGATTTAGACATAATGATATATAATATGCATGGAATACATTTACAGGGCTGTACAGTACATAAATCAGGAGTTGTTTATTATTTTAACAATAGATGGGATGGTGCTGTTCTTATATCTATCGGTGCGGGCTCTTATGGGCTGGATTTTGTTGTAGTGGCGGACTGCGCGAGGTGGGTGGGGGGTTGCCGGTGGCAGGAGGTGGCGATGACGAGGGTGGTGCAGTAGTCCACTGCCAAACCTTTCCAGTGCTTGGTGGTGGAGGTCACTGAGGGATGGCATTTCCAGGGTGGAGAGAGCGTTGGTGTAGCCGGAGTATTCTGCGCCGAGCATGATTCTGCAGGCCCTTTTCTGTACCTTCTCTAGCTGACGTTGTTGGGTGGAGTTGAGAGAAGATGACCAGGCTGGTGACACATACGTTAGTTTGGGGAGAATAAAGGTGTGTGTGTGTGTGTTCCACATCAAGTTTTTTGTTCTCTTTCAAATTACCATAGAACCTTGTAATAGGTAAAGTTATTATCTCAAATGTGTCACTTGATTATACTAAAAATGGTAGTAAGATTGTTCAGGAAATGTGACACTGATAAGTACGAATGAGAGGAAAAATTAACTTAAGCACCTCACTCCTGCCACCCTGCTGTTTTTAACCATCACCTAACCTCTATCCTATCAAGAACCCTTTCTGCTATGATTTGAAATTAAGTATCCCTTAATGCAGCATTTTTTATACCTGTCCTACTGACACTTGCATAAGGCAACTCATATCATCAATACATGGTGTATTTCAAAGAGGTTACGAACAGGTTCCGTTCCTGAGGACGTTCTTCAGTCGAATTTGTACGTAAGTTGGAGCATATGCTATGTGCATGCTGTACTTACTGAACAATGTTTAAAATCCCACTATATCATAGCCTAAGTCCTTATACAGTGGTCCCTCGGTTAACGAGCACAATTCATTCCAGAAGGTTGCTCGTTAACCGAAACCATTGTTTCAATGGGTTTTTGGGTAATTGGTTCAAGCTCACCGAAAATTACATACAAACTAAAAATAAATGCAGTAAAGTACATTTACTTTGAGGTGTGCATGTAGAAGGCTCCTGGTTGATGATGATGGGAATTTGAATGGGGGTGGAGGAGAAGGGAGAAGAGAAGTCCATTGGAGTGGAAGAGAAGTCACCCCATGCTGCCATTTCACCCATAAAATTTTAGTTCACTTGGTGTAATTCAAAATTATATACTTTAAATCAACACTGCACTGTGCTATATATTATCAATATGTAAAATATATTTCAAAATGATCAATAATTTGACTGGAAACAGAAAAAAAGCATTTATGTTGGAGTCTCAAACAAGATGTTCCTTCCTCTGAACTGGTAAACAAACTGACGCCAAGCTTGGTCTGTTGAGTGGCTGTTTGGCGCGCAAAAAACTAGTTTCCTGTACTTCAATTAGTTTCAACAATTGTTAAAATGACTAAAAAAATTAATACAGTACAGTGGTCCCTAGGTTAACTAACACAATTCATTCCAGAAGGTCGTTCGTTAGCCGAAAATTTCATTAACCGAAACCATTGTTTCAATGGGATTTCTGAGCAGGGACACAAACTGACGCCATTCTGGGTGAGTCAAGTGGCTGTTTGGCGCGCTAAAAACTAGTTCCCTGTACTTCAATTATGTTAAATAATTGTTAAAATGACTAAAAATTTTAATATAAGACTTGAACAATTATTGAATAGTACAACCTTCTTGATATTTACTCAAATGGTAACGAATTTAAGCCCTAAAACCGATTACTGTGTTGGCGGACTAATACTACAGCTGGTGAGCAGCCGAAAGCAGACGAAAACATGTTGGGAAAAATTCGTAAGGAATTCATTAACCGAAAATTTTTCGTTAACAGAAGTGAAGATTCTTATGGAAGGTAATTCGTTAACCGAAATTTCGTTAACCAAGGCGTTCGTTACCCGAGGGACCACTGTATACATCTAAAATCACATAATTTAAGACAAAAGAAGAAATAGAATGACAACATATAGTAAGTAAAAGTAAAAAAGTAAGTCATCAGGTAAATAAAATACTGTAAATTTCAAGTTTAACCCCTTTCATATTGGCGGGCATTTGTAAGTCGGAAACGCACTGTACACGCCATAGAATGGATTGGTCACATGATTGAGGTATCTAGCAGATGGTGTAGTGAGGTGTGTGTGGGGATGCATTTTGTCTGTGCTCACAAATACATTGGTTTTGTCATTCAATTTAGGTCGAAATATTTATTAATGGTATTCTTTGGTTTGTTCCTGACATTGCTGGCAACATGGCACTCTAGGTATGAAACCCGCCCTTTAAACCACAGTGACGCTTAAACTATGGGCCTGGTAGTTCTATTGTGTGTTCGTGTGTGCGTGTCTCCGACGTTGCCACATAACTAGGTTAGTCAAACTGCTTGGCACATGACTTTTGACCGGGACTGTATGCTCTCAACAAAAACTTCTCGAACACCTGGGCACGATGGGTGTGAGAATGATCAGAATGGGGCTTGTCATCTAGGAATGGTTTCATATTCTTCATTAATTTTTCAGATTGCATAGTGCTTATAGCGTTCGAGAAGTTTTTGGTGAGAGTGTAAGTATTCACTCTGTCTTACTTAATGATGTTTTGGTCTCATTTTTATCTTGTACAGTCTGGGTCAAAAGTTCGTTTCCTCCCAAACTGAACCAGTATCGACCCCAAATGGAATCAAACAGCACACCTGCACCAGATGACACTCAGGGTAAGTAATTTTAGAGACTCATTACCTTAACTCAGTTTCACCACAGGGAACCAGCTTTTATCTGTGACTGTACAACAGGTGAAGTGATAAAATTTATGCTGGACTTATAGAAATTTACATAATTCAATATTTCATTTGTAAAATTTGTGATAGTGTTACTTACTTCTGTGATGTACAGTCACTCCAAAAGGTATCATTACAATTTTGTGTGAGACAATATGACACAACTGACGAAGGATTTGGATAACCTTACCAAGACAACAGGAGCAACAGTGTTCATTTTGAAAATCATCGGACCCCTCCATAAAGATACCTTTTGGAGTGACTGTGCATGAAAGAATTTAACTAATAACTTTAATTTCCCTTTTAGAGTTTGAACCTCTAATCCGTCAGCCTTGGGACCTTATCTTAACCAGAACATAGAATTTACCAGTTTATCGTAGCTTACATGTAAGCTTTAAGGTAGAAATTACTTGGAAAACCACAGTACAGTATAATACAGTGATATCCCCATTAGCCGTAACAATTGGTGCAGAGCACTTCCGGGGATGAGAGATTTCCGGCTAACCGGATGACTTTTTCAATCCCGAAAAAATCCCCCATCCTCGGAAATATTTCTGGTTACTGGAAAAAACTTTCCGAGTGTCTAAACTATGCATCTTGCACAGACAAAAAATAGCCCACATCCTCAGAATGTTTCTTTGTTCTGGGGAGTTTTCCAAGAGTCTAAACTAAAAATCTATTTGATATGGTCGTGAATGAAGCTGTGTGTTACAGCAAAGACTGATATTTTCCACTGCCATAGAGCCGTGGGGGATTTATGGGTCTCGTGTAACTGACCTGACCTGACACACTGTCAGATGGAGGTAGGGTGGGGTATTAATGATCTCATATTAGTGACCTGATACAATGTCAGGTCACCCATTGTCGGGTGGGGGATTAGTGAGTCTGAGGACCTGAAGATGTCTTAAATAAACATGAAAGCTAAAATACAGTATTTTTTATACTTACACTTATCACATTATATCGCTTCAACGTTACTTTACATCAGATTTTTAAATATTGAGTGAGAAAGCAGAAAGGTGTGGGTGATTAGAGAGATGGAGTGGAAAGGAGCGGTAACATGCACCAGTGTTGCCAACCGCTATGCTCCTCAACAGCTGATCTTTCAATTCACCACCACGTAGTTAACCACGCATAAATGGGAGAGGCAGGAGAGGCAAGGTGCAGGAAGAGAGGCAGGGAGGAGGCAAGGTGCAGGAAGAGAGGCAAGGTGCAAGCAGGGACTGGCACTCCCCTTTTCACCAATGATCAGCCTCTTATGGTGTATGTTTTATCATTGGTAATATAAAATATTGAACACATTAAGCACAAATTATTACAGTAAACATTTTACAATATGAATGGCAGGCATGGGGAGGAGTAGGGGAGAGGCATGAACCTTTATGGGGTGTGTGCAGTCAGGTCCCTCCCTCCCTCCCCAAACATTTAACACAGAGGCCCCGGGAGCATGACACAATATTTTGTAATTTTTTATACATGTTATAGCATAGTATTTAATATTTTATATTATCAATGATAAAACATTCACTATAAGTGGCTGATCATCCATGAATATATAATATAATAAATGTTGGAGGTGTGTGTATCGCTGTAATGTTATTAATAGCCAGGGCCCTTTTCTCAAAATTTATAAAATACGTCAATGAAAATGAATGGAAATTAGAAATAGTAATTGATTTATAAATTGAAAAAAGTTGGATGATCCATCATTATTTTTATTTGTATTCTTATCATAAATACTGTTTACGAATGTATATTAAAAAATTCCCTGAAAATCTCTTGATTTTATACTGTATTACTCATTAATGAGTTATCCATCATGCCACAAGTTATCTCTTGGTGAGGGGGCGGTGCGCTCAGATCTACCATATGGACAGGACTGAAACCCGTCAGCTTCCAGTTGCCATTTAGGGATTTTTCCAAAGCAATTATACACTACTGTAGTATTTGGGATGAAATGAATGGGCACTGGAGCTTATTGTATTGATCTTTGTGTACATTAAAGCCTCGACTAATGATGGTTGTAGATGTAGTAAAATTAATGTAAAAATCCTGAATGTAGCCTTTAATTAATGTTATGTAATGTATGTACAGTATAAGTGACCATGCAGTCACGCACACGTATCTGTACAGGGAGGGGGTTGGAGAGGTCACTTTTATCCCCCTCCATGAAGGATAGATTAACTCTTATAAAATGTCACTGACCTGACTTACGATAAATAACTTGCATTGCTGGAATTCTTGTAAGAAAGTGATTAAGTTGAGTATAAACATCGTTTAATTTGCACCATACATAATAATTTTAGTAAATAACTTAGTACATTTGAGTACAGGTTGTGATAATTTTTGTGGTTGTAGTTTCAAAGTTTTGTGACATCATTAATGTATAATGAGTCTCCATATGCCCTGGTTTATTCATTGATCAGTTGTCTAAGTCCAAAAGTAGCCCTGTCAAGCTATCATGTGTCAAATAATTTTAAAATATAAATTATTATGGTATGTAAAATGTTATAAGACAACGGTTTAGTAGTGCTGTTAATGTGTGTGCTGTGTTATGCCTGTATTATTAAACAACATCTTCCCTCTCTGACGAAGAGTCTTCTTGAAGGTATTTTTCTTTCAAGCGGTATTTTTAAGCGCTCGAACCTCTTCCCCTTTCGTGTAGGACCAAGTAGGGTAGGTCTGGTTATACTGTCCACCTCGCTGATGCATTATGGGTCGTCTTACTCCGAAGTTACTTGTGTGTGTTTGTTTACCTTCTTTGGCACTAAAATTAAGAATACTGCACTCTCATCATGGACATTTTTTCCTCCCAATCATCAAGGGCAAGTCCTATATCACAGAGAGAATGTGAGGAGGGGAAAAAAAATTAAAATACTTGTTGAAAGCTTGTTGCCTTAAAGAAGTAAGCATGGTTACGAATAGCAACACGTTTCAATGCTAAGGGATATGGGCCTCAGCGATCAGAAGAAAAATTAAAGAAGATTTGGGAATGTATTAAAATAAAGCAAGTTAAAAAAAATTATTTTGTTGCAAAGTAGGTTACATTAAAGAGGGTGCAGATGACTACAATCTGTGAGACAACTTACTTAATTAAGTTACATGGGAGGTAGAGATTTCTTATTTGGCTCCCAGACAGAAACTCACTTAAAAAACTGCTAAAAAGTTGCATCAAGTAGCTTAAATGTACAGTGGTCCCTCGGTTAACGAACACAATTTGTTCCACAGACTCGTTCGTGAGCCGAAAATGTCGTTAACTGAATCTATTATTTCAATGGGATATTGGGTAATTGATTCCAACTCACAGAAAAAGTATACATACAAAGTACGATATACCGGTAATAGAATTAACACAACATTAAATACTGTATAAACTAAATACAGTACTGTACTGTATAGTATACAGTGGAGTCTGCATTTACGCGGTCGATTGAACCCGTGGAGGCCTGCGTAAATCAAGAAACGCGTAAATGAAATAACAGAACATATGGGATTAATTGAAATAGAGACTGGGCCGACCCCCAAACTCCACTTTTTCCGACACAATACCTATGTTATAGTAAAAATAACATCTTAATTTTATGATGGTATGCACACACAATTAATATTTAAGAGAAATACAGTTGCCTGGTTAATGTCCATTCAAATAATGGACTCAACTCCCACCCCATCCTCTTCCCCAGGAAATGTTTGGGTTAAAAAACACTAGATTTTAAGGTATAGTAATAAATAATACCTCAGACTAAAGTTAAGATAATATAATTGACATTGCTGGATTCCGTGCAGGACAGGGAATATTTTGAATGTAAACTTCATATATTTTGCACAAAAGATAAAATGTTTGCTAATTTTCATCATCTACTTACATTACATCTAAAATTTGTAAGTCTAATGCAAATGTTGAGATGTTTATATTTAAAATGATCACCATCTTGTAAGGATTCCAGCAATGTAAATTATATATTTTATGAGCTAAAAGCATATATATCTTCAGTAAATAAACAAATTATACTTCACCCGCGTAAATGATGAAATTTACTGCGTAATTAAAACATTTCATTCTGGCAAGGTGCTGCGTAAATGACCAAACGCGTAAACAAAAACCGCGTAAATCCAGACTCAACTGTACTGTACAATAATAAATAAAAAACAATAGAATACTGTATTTTAAGTTACTTTGAGTTGTGTGTGTCGTATTACCAGCAGCTTTGTTTACCGGTACATATTTAACAGCTGATTGTAGAGGCAGTGGATCATGACATCCCATATTCTGTACAGAGTGCATTGGTTATAATGCCTTCTTCGTGTTTCATAATAATTTCTGCACTGTTTATTATCAATCTGTTTACTAAATTTCAGAATGATCAATAATTTTAATGTAAAAATGCAAAAATATTCATGAGACCAACAAAATCGATGTTCACTCCACTGTAAACAAAGTTAAACTGATAAGCGTTGTTGGGTGATTCAATCAGCCGATGGCCACACAAACACTGTTCCCTGTACTGTTTATATTATGAATATGTAAACTAAATTTCAGGATGACCAATAATTTTAATATAAAAAATGCAGAAATATTCAAGAGACCAACTTTCTTGATATTTACTCCACTGGAAACAAATGTAAATATAGAACAGATTACTGTATTGGCGGACTAGCCGATCAACTGATCAGCTGATGCGCACAACAAAAGGTGTTTGTTTTAAGGATTTCGTTAATCGAACTGAAAATCCTTATGGGAGCTAATTCGTTAACCGAAATTTCATTAATCGAACCGTTCGTTAACCAAGGGACCATTGTACAGTGATCCCTCGGTTAACGAAATTTCGGTTAACGAATTACCTTCCATAAGATTCTTCACTTCGGTTAATGAAAAAATTTCAGTTAACGAATTCCTTACGAATTTTTCTCAACATGTTTTCGCTTGCATTTGGCTGCTCACCAGCTGTAGTATTAGTCCGCCAATACAGTAATCGGTTCTAGGGCTTAAATTCGTTACCATTTTAGTAAATATCAAGAAGTTTGTACTATTCAATAATTTTAAAAGTTTTATATT